GTTGAGGCTTCGCACCCCTTCGTGGTCACTTTGGAGACCTGCAGAACATCTCTTTCCAAAGACTCGTTCATCCAACGAACAGCGAGGTTCTGGAACACATTGTCAAGGGAAGTGGTTCCCGAGGCATATAACCTTCAGGAATTTAAGAAGAACACGAATTCCTACTTTATTTCCTTTGGGTCTCACGATGATCTCTGAACATTACAGGATATCCCTTTTCGTGGAAACCAGAATATAAAAAAAAACAGAGTCGTCAAAGAAGTTCTGCATCATCATCATCATCATCATCGTGTATACCCCATTGAACCAGTAACGTACGCCTATGGCTTTGATGCGGGTGTAGATAAATCCTCTGGATAAATAACTATATGGTTACATTTTGTTAGATATTAGTGTCTACTTCTAACTTCGTAATTCATATCCCCCGACGAAAATTAGTCGGTGGGAAAGAGAGGGAAAATAATAACCACCCGGACACCTGTTGCTTTGTGTTCGATGGAAATGACAGAGGAAGAGAGTCATTTTGTTGGTTTTTTTTCGGACACCCCGTGAGTGTGTTGTAGCAAGAGTCACGGACTAGTGCGATTAGGTCTAATTAGGAAAATTGCTCGTCTCAATTTCACGAGAAAACGTTGTGTGAGCCGTCGCAAAAAGTAGGATACGTCTTTTTTTGGGATACGGAAGATGATGACAGATGATTGCCTATTTATTTAACTATTAGTCATTCTATGATTTCTTGATTGCTAGTAGTCGGAGATTGGGCATACGAGCAAAATGATGGAATATTTTTCTATAAAATTGAAGTTATTTATTTTACGTCTCCTGAATCACTCAACTAATCTTAGAACCAAATTCTACACTATCTATAAAGTTATGAACCAACGAACATCTGACTCACCGCGAAAAAGCTAGAAAAGTTCATCAATGAATTTTCGAAACCCACACTGATGTAATTAGATTGGAATCTAACCTTCTGCGAAAGCTGACGAATCAGATAAAAACCGTTCCATTGAACAATTTCGACGGTACGATTGTCACCAAATCTAATTTTAATTATTCTTTTATGTAAGCAACTGTTCTTCTTCAAGGCCTGAGATAATTCCATGATTCGCCACATTTTCTTGATGTAATTTTTATTCGTCTTTTCCGCAAACATTAAAAATATATAGATAATGCGGGAGTACTTTCAACTCATAACGCCTAGACCTGAACATTAAGTTACGAAAAGTTCAAAATTTTAGGAAAATATCACTCGACATGATTAACTCAAGTGGCATGACCAAATAGAACTTGAGTAAAAATTCAAAAATGTTTTTACTCGAAATCCTGAAGAAAACGACCTATATGAACCTAACAAAATTTAATCGGTTAAAACTGTATAGATTTTATAAGGGTGCTCCAGTCTCCAGTGGATCACACTGTATATATTCCATTCCATTTGACGTGAGATATTGAATGTAATTCAAAGCACTAAATAAAACTGTTCTATATTCTGTCTATCCATGATTATTTCATTATTCCTAATTTTCACACATATCATGCAAATAATGCCGAGTATTTAAGTATTCAACTTATCTGGTTCCATCTATCGGATTTCTCGGAATCATACATTCAATGAATAAGTGAGTAAAAAAACGATTGTTGTTTGCGAAACTATTACGGACATATTATTGCTACATGAAATATTTCTATATAAAATAACCTAGGTTGGTATAATTGAATCTTTATCGAGAAACGTTTCAAGATACGTTTCAATCTCGAGATTGCTCTTTCGAAGAAAATCTATTCATTAAAGCTAATAACTCCTGCTTATTAACGCATTATAGTCATTAACGGCAATAAAGCAAAGCATCGAGATTCTGAATAACAGCACAGATAATAAAATATCTTTGTTGGGATTTCATTTATTTATCCCATTCAATCATTGGTGTTGTCAAAGATGGTTACTTATAAGGATGTCCTTCGTTGCCTACCTTTATAACGCCTATAGTGAATATTTTTAAATATAAGGCATTCCCATTTCAACTGAAGAATGCAGGAACATTTTGACTAATCTGTTGATATATGAATTCAAAACATATAGAGGAATTTTCTTTTTATCAGTTTTTTGTTAAATTGCTTTCGGAATGACGATTCTGTTATGTTTAAAAAAATTGAATCTCGACGCCCAGTATCTTCTTGCGAGGGGTAAATCTCCAGGAAAAATGTGTACACCAGACTTCCAATGACCAAAGACTTCCAAAGACTTCCAAAGACTCCCAAAGACTTTCAAAGACTCCCAAAGACTCCCAAAGACTTTCAAAGACTTCCAAAGACATCCAAAGACATCCAAAGACTTTCAAAGACATCCAAAGACTTCCAAAGACATCCAAAGAATTCCAAAGAATTCCAAAGACTTCCAAAGACTTCCAACGGAGTGTACACCAGACTTCCAAGGAGATTTACCCCTCGTCTTCTTGAATGTTTTTCAATTCATAATCTCCTGCACGCCTATGGAGGATCGTAGAATGTCGCTTAAAAGCTGGAACATCCTGTATACTTATTTATGACAAGTGAAAGTGTCTAATTATCAACAATACTTGATGGATGTTTTTCTATGGATACGTGAATAGGGTTATTATAGTGTCTAAGTATTCAACAAATATTCATATACAGTGTATCCTAGATGTACTCCAGGAGGTAATTGTACAAATGAAAATTGAAAAAAAATGTGCCTGGAAATCTAATTTCCATTGTCTACGCCAATGTATTGTAGAATATTCTTCAACCTAATAACCAATCCGAACCATCCGTAATTCTACTATCTAATTAACACTACTTCGCGAAATCGACTTTGCGATTGTTTTTCTCAAAATCATTAAAGGCTGGAACGGCATTTTTATAAGAGTGGCGGCATTTAACTTTTTTCGTTTTCATTGTAACTGTGAATACGACGCATTGTTTCACAAGTTCACGGGAGATAGGTGACTAATTGATATGTTGTTTCCTTATATTGAGGAAACTTGAAAAATATCGCATTGCGTACTAATATACAGAGTGTTTCAAAATTCAGGATCAGATTTTTTCCTATAAACATGTTACCGCATTCGCTTCTTTTCAAATCTTCAGAGCATTAAAATTTAAAGATTTTTTTCTTTTTTCTCTCAGTTTTCGAGATATTCTGATCAAATTTGAAACATGTTTTACGTTTTAGAGTCAATCAATCAATCAATCAATCAATCAATCAATCAATCAATCAATCAATCAATCAATCAATCAATCAATCAATCAATCAATCAATCAATCAATCAATCAATCAATCAATCAATCAATCAATCAATCAATCAATCAATCAATCAATCAATCAATCAATCAATCAATCAATCAATCAAACAATCAAACAATCAAACAATCAAACAATCAAACAATCAAACAATCATTAAATCAACCAATCAGTGCTTTAGTGTCCAAGAATGCATAAACCAAAACAATTACAGAAACATACATATTATACCTAGCTAACAATTGAATTCACAGTGAGGACCCAAAAAGCCCTTTTTCCTCCATTAACTTTTGAACGACAAGCTAGCGAGGTCGGGTAAAATTCTGTTGAAATAGTACATGTTTTACTACTTTTTGGCATGAAAATGGTTGTGGTCACGTGACCTAGTGTTAAGAGGGCACCACCAACTTTTTTTTCAAATGTATGGATGTGAAAATCAATACATTCGACAAAAATTAATTCATCTTAGGAGAATACGCGATAGCAAGTTTGTATTTCTTTCCTAGACCTATAACTGATTCTCAGCCTTTCACAAGGAGAAACTGTTATGAATAATTTCAATCTCAGCAGATCTATCCATCAGAGAGAAAACAAGACTAATGACCCTAGGAATAGAACGCGGGGCCTAATTAAGGCCCTTTTTCCGAGCCGTCGTCGAAAATCGTTTTCGTTCAGTGTAAACATGACGAATGTACGATCAGCCCGACCTCACTCGTCCTAACAACAGGGGCGGGCCTCGAGAAAAGACCCCCGCCGTGCCCGAAATTAGCTGAATGCTGCCCCGCTGTTAAACCCCCTCCTCTCCCCTATCAACTATATTACCACAAACTAACTTATTGTTGCTTATTGTTTGTGGCCGTGGCGGCGAGTCCTTTGTTTTCTACGGATTTTTTAATTTAATTAAGTGGGCTATTTGAATAATGAGTTTGGAAAGTTTTCAGTCGGAGTGCATGGCCAACGAAGTTCACACTGAGTGGTAATAGTGGCAATACCCGTTAAATAATAGTTATTCACCATAAATATCATGTTTTCTCTGTTATCGGTCCAAATAATAATGTTGACCTTCTTTTTTATTCCAATTGCAAGAAAAATAAATAGCACAACGTTGATCGCCCTGTAACTTTTTTAATTCTTGTCCGATTGTCTGGTAAAATTTCGACCAAATCAAATCAAAATATACTTTATTGTCTGAAGAAAAGAATTCTCATTGACAAAGTCGACATGTATATATGCTCTTTGAGAGTCTCTAAAACGTCATACTTTCTTTGTTACACTCATTATATCGTCTCTCAAAAGGAAGATATTGACGTGAATCAAAAACCATTGTGTTAAGAAAGGATTGATTATACTTCAATCCAAAACATAACGAATCTTAGTTCAACAACTCACTTTTGAATATAACGGTGAAACAGAAACTTTTGATTTTCTCTGTATAATGATCTATTGATCAAATATCCTCAAGAACTAACATTTAGGCTAACAATTCGCAACCTGAATCTACAATTTGGTCGAAATTTCACCAGAATTGGACGAGAATTAGAGAGGAAACAGAATGATCAATTTGGCCAGTTAGCATAACACGGCAATTTTTATCATTGAACATTGGTCGAAACTGGGAGAAAGTTTCGATGATTCAATTCAAACGACACATAATTATTCCCGAAAAATAAACTTCTGTCGTTTTGTCGACAAACCCACAGTATTCCACACACAAATAACAACGATTTTTTTGTTGCAGGTCTGGTTCCAAAACCGCCGAGCCAAATGGCGCAAACAAGAAAAAGTCGGCCCCGCCGGCCACCCCTACAACCCCTACCTCAACCCCGGCGGAGCCACCGGCCCCGCGCCCCCCGTGGTAACCCCCACCCTGCCCAACCCCTTCAACCTGCCCTTCGGCCTCCGCAAGCCCTTCGACACGCTCTCCTTCCGCTACCCCCCGCACGTCCTTCCCGGCTACCTCCCCTCCCCTGCCTCCTACCACCGGGGAGCGCCACCCCTGCTGCCCCACTCCATGGGGATGTACCCTTCGGCCAGCTCCTTCCAGACGCTGCTGGCCAACATCTCGGCTGCCCAACGGCCCAAGCAGGAGTTCACCGCGTCTCCGCCCCTGTCGCCAGGGGGGTCACCTGGATCGGCGGGGGTGAGTCCCCCAGAAGTGGACAGGCGGAGCTCGAGCATAGCCTCGCTGAGGTTGAAGGCCAGGGAGCACGAGCTCAGGCTGGAGATGCTCAGGCAGAACGGAGATCTGATCAGCTGAGAAGGAGGCATCGGTATCATCGTTGGGGAGGGCTGGACCTGGACAACAAGATAGAATGTTTTGATCCCTCCATGTTTTCCTTTATCCTCTGGGTGTCTCCAGGATCTGGGGAAGGAAGCTTGAAGAAAAGAAGGCTGGACCTGGACTACAAGATAGAATGTATTGACCCCTCTACGTGTTTCTTCCAACTGTCTGTAAATTGGTATTAACATCCTTCGAGATGGCTGGAATCTAGGAGTGCGAAATCAATAGGTGAGGTCCCCTTATCCTCTGGGTACCTCCAGGATCTGGGGATGGAAGCTGGAAGATAAGAAGGCTGGACCTGGACTACAAGATAGAATGTATTCCATTTTATGCTGATAAATTGGTATAAACATCGTTTGAGACGTTTGAATAAGGAGTATGGAATTGATAGCTGAGGATCAGGAAGAATGGTAACCTCATCAGCTGAGGTATATATCGTTGGGACGGGGTTGAAAATGTGAAAAAAAGGTGAATAGGCTGGACCTAGGCAACGAGAACAAAGGTTATGATACCTCCATGGCTTGACCTTCTCCTTTATCCAGTATTTCGTGTCACTGCCAGTCAGTTTGTTTTGGAAACGTGTAATAATATCGTTTGGGGGAGCCGGGATCTTCTCCTTTTTCCAGTCATTTCGTCTTATATCCATTTTTTATCTATGTACCATTTTGTGCCTACAAAGATTAACTACTATGCGAACAGAAATTGAAGGCATCATTTTTTGACATATTTTTATGAATTCAACATACGAGAAAGAATAGTAAAATGTCATGCTTTCATATCTCCATCTTCTCAAATTCCCCTTCTGTAATTATTGTAAATTTGAACGTACTACGATGAAATCCATGGCTGGTCATGATTTCAAACTTCATTTTTTCATGTATGCTGTTAGTAGCGACGGCAATAATATGTTATTTTTTTATATGGACTGTTGTTTCAGTTGTTATACCTACCAATTGTAGATATTTTATGTAGACATCATCTTCCTTTCGTATTTTGTGTCCAGTTTAATATTACGGTCACGTACTTATCGAACGTACTTGTAGATATTGAAGATTTTATTTATAAATAGTTATGAAATTAGCAGTTATGTTATACTTATTTTTAGGAATGAATGTATTTTCTATCATTCAAATCAGTGTCACTCGAATTGTTGCAATAATTTTATAGTTTTAAATACCTACTGAAATTGTAACGAATCCGTCCAAATGTCTTTGAAACTTGTGTAAATAAAAATATCTCTATTTTATATCGTTTGACTCATTTATTCATAACTACTTGAATTCACATAAATTCTCAATTTCGTATCCCAAGATCATTTCTTATAAGTAAGTGAATATGAATTTCAGCAAAAAATGAAAAATAATTCCAGAGTATGTCTCGAAATTTTATGGAAATATTTCAACAGTGACTTCAATAATTAAATTGAATTCAATTCAAATGTGTTAGTCAGATACGTTTCATTAAGTCGGGGATGTAGGAAAAAATTAAAGCTATTATTGATGACAGAAAGAAGAAATACATATAGAAGAGAAGTCGTTACTGACAAGTTATAGATGAAACTCAGTAGTGGGGAAGCAGCAAGTGAAAGTTAAACTCATGCAAGTTTGTCTGAGCTTTCGGAAAGTTATATTTCCATCATCAGGGAAAAACTACAAAATGTTATAATAATTAGCAAAGCTGGTTAACTGTGATGTACTGAGTGATGTACTTTTGTACTTACAATTCACTGAGGATGATTACATTGATGTTACTAAAAAAGTATACATAAAAATTGTTGTATAACATATCTGGAACATGACAAATACAAAAATTAAATTATTTGGTCAAAATATAAGAAACGTTGGTGATTTAAATTCATGAGAAACTTTTTGCCACAACTCATTGAGTCGTCACTTTTTTGTATTGGTCATTTTTGGTTGAGTGTTTAGATCCGAACATTTATTCCTATCAAAATGAGAGGACTCCTTGATGCAAAACTCCTTGGGGGACCTTAAATTTGATAATCATCCGCAAAATTTAGTCTGCAGTTTGTGGTCAAATTGAATCACATTATACGCATAATGGAGAATTTCATTTTACAAAGATTTGAAACTATTAATGCAGTGTCCCTCAGGATTTATCGCACACTCACTGAAAGGGTTGTACAAACAAAAATGTGTCTCATATGCAAATGGTCGTGGGTTTAAGTCAGATTTTCAATTCAAAAAATTCTGTTATAAAGCTAATCTCCTTGGAGTGACAAAAAAACTTATACCTACACGTTTTATGGTCGGTTCATCCCATTATGATAATCTTGTATACCTATACTGTTGATAAATATATAGAATATGAAACAGTGTGATTGTCCTGCAGGACCAGGAGGCCAGTTTTGCTAACATATTCGTGATTTTTTCAATAGTGGAGTCAATTTGTTAACAACACTGAATCTGTTATTCCAGGATCGGTTAAATCTTGCAAATTTGGCACTTGGTAATGACGTTGATGAAAGTTTCTATATGAAACCTTATAGCACCGAAATATTAGCCGAAAATGGAGGAACTTCAATTGGTACAAGAGATAAAAAAGTATGAGTATGAAAAGGAAGATAATTGTCTTGCAGCTTTGGAAGAAATTTCATAGCTTGCTGCATCTCATCCGTCCGAATACAGGCATAAATGCATGGAAGAGTTGAATACAAAATGCATATCAAAAATGAACATATACGTTTTATAATGTTATGCTCATCTATCACAAATATTACGTCAGTATTTTATTCCAAAATTCCAAAACTAGCTCGTGATCAGCCGAACGCTAAAAGCCACAGAACCTCAGACTAATTTAAAATATCTTTATCATCAGCTTATATTCTATGTTCCACAGTTTTCTCTTGTCAACTGTTATGAATGATGAAATGTATAGTATTTCTGTAATAGTTCATCACGCATTCATTGAAAAAGTCTATCATTTCCAGCTGTAAAGCTTATATGGTGCGTCTGTCGCATAGGGATTGTAATTTTTTAATATTTACGTATCCTATAACATTAACGCTCCGCGTAGCCCTACTGGTGTCATCGGGCTAAGTACGCTGAGGACTATGTTCTGATCATGAAGAAGAATTTAAAGTTAAAAAAAGGTAGTGCATGAAGGCATCAAAGTCCTTTAATAAAAATAAATTTAATGACCGTTAATGAAAGCTACAGAATTCTCCGCTCACTCCAATCATCTGAAATTTATAGTACCAACAAGCCCAAAACAATAAATTCAATCCGCGACTCCAATTCACGTGACTTCATCTATACCCGATAACGTTTCATCATCACCGAGTACAACGTTTTCTTATTATATTAATACGAGATAAGGATAATTAAAATCATAAATGCTTGTAATTACGGTTGGTCGGCCGTACGTTCGTTATGTTAGTACGCCTGATTTCCATTTGATAACAGGATATTAATTGGGAACATTATTTCATGGAAGCCGAGTACCGCCCACGAGCATCCTAGTACCGATGCAAAGGAAGGTACTGCTCGTTCGTCTCTACGTGTCTCTACCTACTACGAGTTGCCCGTGTTTGTCGTTACACCCAATTCAATAAAATGAAATCAGGAAGAAAATCGCTTGGTCATCTCCACAAGAGTTTTTCAGTAAATTAGAAATTCACAATGGCAACATTCATACCGTGTCTTGGTAAGTTGACTAATGGCTATATTTTTACAAAATACTCTTGGTCAGTTCGGTATAAACTGTATACTTGATATTCCATTCCACTTCAGCTAATTTCGTATCCTACCCAAAGGTATTATTCTTAATTTACGAATTCAAGTGGAGTTCCACAACGTAACCTCAAAAAAATAATCCAATCAAAACAAAGTTGGTAACGTTTCTCAACTGAAGATACATGGTGTAACCATGCGTTAACTAAGGCATTTGTTCTGAATTTAGTTAGATCTCCTTGGTAAGCATACCAACTACCCATACGGTTTTTTGATGTTCTGGTTCTCACGAAAAGGGATATCCTGTAATGCTCAGGAATTTCTGGAGGTTATATGCCTCGGATAACAGCTCCCTAGGCAATGTGTTCCAGAGCCTCGCTGTTCGTTTAATGAACGAGTCTTTGGAAAGATATGATCTGCAGGTCTCCAAAGTGATCACGAAGGGGTGCGAAGCCTCAACTCGACGGGTTAATCTCGCGGGGACTGCCAAGGAAGGAACAATTGTTGATATTTCAGAAGAGCATCGTCCATGAAAATATCTATAAAATAGAGCCAGATCGCCAACTTTTCTACGGTCCAGAGAAGTGAGTGAGTTTGTGAGCGAGGCATCACCCACGAGACGAATTGCCCTTTTTTGGACAGAATCCAACAGTTTCAGGGTATATTTGGGTGCTGCACTCCAAATATGGGAACAGTATTCCAGGACAGGTCGGATCTGTGCCTTATAGATCACAAGCAGCTCACTGGAAGTGAAATAGCTCCTGGCACAAAATGGAAAACCAAGTTTCTGGGATGCACTTTAAGCAATTGATCTCCCGTGATTTTCCCAAGAAAGGTTATTGCTGATAGTATACAGGGTGTTTCATAGGTAAAGGGAAATATTTCAATGGTAGATAGGGCTCACCAAGGTGGTTCTGAAAATACCATATTTGATAGGTCTTAGAGTTTTCATAACGGAGATACAGGGCGATTTATCGATTTCGAATAATTATTCATTCGTCTATAAGTATTGAACTACCCAGTATATTTTTCTAAAATTTGGTATGGAGCTTAAACTTGAGACGTTGAATTCATTCACCCATCGGGCGAAGTGAAAATCCAGGTTCGGCTTCAGGAAAGATTTACATTTATTCGAAATATTAAAATAACACACTGTATGTAATAATTGACAAAGTTCATCAAAAGAATCGTGAAGAGGAGGAAAAATTGAACTGGATTTGATGCTTTTTGTTTTCCCGCCACCAATTCTCATCGTAACAATCATAAACAGGAAGCTAAAAGTACGTCAATTTGAAGAGTATAAAAATTATGAAACCACTTTCAATTATGATTATTTGATATATTCTTATTAAATGATCGTTCGAAAGAACTTACTTAGTCTCACAGTCTTCATAACAGAGATACAGGGTGAATTATCACTCGTCCATAAGTATTAAACTACCCATCGCAGTACTATTTTCTCAAATTTTTAATTGAGCTTACTTGGGACGATGGATTCATTGACCTATCAGGCAGAATGGAAATACAGGTTCAGCTTCAGGAAAAGTCTCATAGTCTTTATAACAGAGATACAGGGTGAATTATCGATTTATAATTCCGCCTGATAGGTTAATGAATCCATCGTCCCAAGTAAGCTACATACCATATTTGAGAAAATGTTACTGGGTAGTTTTATACTTATGGACGAGTGAATAATTATTCAAAACCGATAATTCACCCTGTATCTCCGTTATAAAAATTGTGAGACTAAGTGAGTTCTTTCGAGCGATTTTTTGACTAAAATATATCGAATGATCATAATTGACTCTGGTTTCATAATTTCAATACTCTTCAAATTGACATACTTTCAGCTTTCTGTTTATGATTGTTACGATGAGAATCGGTGGCGGGAAAACATAAAGCATCAAATCCAGTTCAGTTTGTCTTCCTCTTCACGATTCCTTTGATGAACTCTGTCAATTATTACATACAGTGTGTTATTTTAATATTTCGAATAAATGTGAATTTTTCCTGAAGCCGAACCTGGATTTTTTTTTCGCCCGATAGGTGAATGAATTCAACGTCCCAAGTTCAAGCTCCACACCAAATTTTAGAAAAATATACTGGGTAGTTCAATACTTATAGACGAATGAATAATTATTCGAAATCGATAAATCGCCCTGTATCTCCGTTATGAAAACTCTAAGACCTATCAAATATGGTATTTTCAGGACCACCTTGGTGACCCCTATCTACCATTGAAATATTTCCCTTTACCTGTGAAACACCCTGTATAATACCAAGCATCGAAATGGATGTCTCCAACGGTATGGTTACTCCTGACAAGCTTATGTTGGGCACAGTGAGATCGGCTTTTCTAGAGAAAAGGCATGCTTGTGTTTTGTTTGCATTGAAATCTACCAAGTTATTGGATCCCCATTCGAGAATTGTTGCCAAGTCCATATTTATGTTGTCAACATTTCTTCCTCGTTCGTTTCTGATTTGCCTGCCCGGTATAAACGTGGCCATTGAATTTCACCAAACACCTATAAATCATTTTTCTACTATAGTGCGA